ATTTTGTATAAATTTCAAAACAAAAAACGTTCCTGAAAAATTGGTCGTTATAGAGGGTGTCCGTTATTGGAGGTTCGATTGTGTTAACATATATACTGTAGCCCTAACATATCCAAATTTTAGATCTGTTAAATATAAAAAATACACAATTTCTAGTAGTATAAAAGGCCTGAAAATATTTGTAAAGACTCGAAGAAATGTTTTTCTCACAGATTTTATTAATTCAAGATATTTTTTAAAAGTTTTTTTATTTAATACATTTTATATATAAAGTGCGAGAATCAAGTTTAAATGGTTTAGTCCGTCTTTAGCACCAAATTCTCTGAGATAGAACAATTTAATTTTTGAAAAGCCTGAGAAAGACAATCAAAACAAATGCATCCTTTTCTCTTCTACTCCCAAGTCATCCATTTTTTCCCCTTGTTTTTTAGTTTCTCTTACAATTCATACAGAATTGTTTAAACTTTTTACAATTCCCATTCCTGTAAATTTTTATCTTTTCTACCTGCATTTAACCAACTAAATAAAAAGATTCATTAAAAATAAACCATATAAATATTTTTTCCCCAATTTGATGAACTAAAAATCTAATATTTTAATAATTTTAGTTATATATATCGAAAACTTTTTCTTAGAAAAAGTTGGTTTGTAGTAGATTAAACCAATTTTCAGACGGAAAAAAGGAAAAAAAAAACACTAAAAGGAACTAATTAGGAGTAGAATTGATGACGTCACGAAATTTGCTTCGTTATCGGTTTCTGTTCGATTCTCTGAGGAAGGAAAAATTTTCTGGGCCCAAGAGAATTTTATCGTTATAATAAAAATTAAAAAATAAATCAAATTAAATTATTTTCTTTATTTTTAATACAGAATTAAAAGATCATTTGATCAAACATATAAAATAATTACTTATAATTATGATATTCCCTCATCAATTAACAATTTAATTCATTTTAAATTTGGTTAAAAATGTTAATACTTTACATATTTAAATGGTTAATACATAAAAATAAATTAAAATTAGATTATTAATTAATTAGATATGACTATTCAAGCTAAATAATACGTTTACACATGATTTTTAAAAGCAGTATAATTGAAAGATTGTATTAGACTATATCTTTTAAGCAAATTTTATACATAAGTAATCTTAATAATGATGAAGAAATTTACTTAAAAATTGATGTTTTTGTATTAAGTAAAAGTTTAAATTTCATTTGTAATATATTATTTTAAAGAATTTCTGATGTTTACGATTGAATTTACATTAATTTAATCATAAATATGAAAAATGCTTCCGTTTTCAAACATTTCAAAGTGTTTCATACCCTCTGAGGCATATAGTAGTGTCAAAAACAGTTATCATATGAGAAATTCAGACAAAAAACCATAACATTTTACATAAATCTTGAATGGAAAGTTTCCGTGCTACAATAGAATATCAGCAAAGAACACAAAACCATATGATTTTTACGAGTTTTGTTCTTTCTTGTTTCATATATAAACACTTTCGACTGATAAAACATTAAATAGTTGAAGTTTAATCACGACTTTCTAGAGATTAAATAGCAATTATTCAATCGAATCTTTCTTTTACTAAGTCTGAAAGAGACTGCAAGGCTTTTGCTAGAAGTACAACTGATATGGAAGTCGTCAACATATCGTAAAATCTTTCTTTATAACTCAGAAAATTCCTCTCAAAAAACCAAGGAAATCGTATGATGAATGAGTTTTCACATTCCACTGTAGATGTCGTGATTATTCAAACAGTTTGAAGATGCAGGCTGAAACGGATGAAAAACGACAGGATTTCTTGAAGGGTCAATCATTCTAAATCTACACATCTCTTCAGTGGCTGCAGTTTGTTCCCGTTTTGGCAACTGCGCAGAGAATGGCAAATCGAGTCCACCCACAGAGAACTGAATAGCTGGTTATTTACTGCCTCTAGTCGACTTCTTTCATATCCCCCTCTGCATTTATCTCTAGAGTCTATTTACAGTCGCTATCAAATAGAGAAGAATACGGACACCCTATGGCTTTGCACTAGAGATGAATCGCTTCTGTCCTTTCCAGTCCAAAAAGACAAAAAAGTCAAGTAGTAATGTTGTCGTTGTGTGCAGCTGTTTCTATAAATAGGATAATTACTGATGTATCTTTATATCTCGTATCATTAAAAACACAAGAAGCATGGTTGTTCACTATCATAACATTGATTAATTAGGTACATTTTAGAAGGATACATATACTTATCAAAAGAAAATCCATTCTTTATCATCTATTATATCTCATAAAACTGTTAAAATTCGAAATTTTTCCACGCTATTTATCATTAAATTCTTCTTAAAATTATATATAAATATTTATGTAAGAACAAATTCTTTTAATATACTATTAACTATTAACTTTTTTCTTACGTAAGAAAAAAATATTTTAAACATGAAACATTTTAATTAATTATAATTAAATTTTTCTCTATTTCTAATTAATTTAAATATTTCTTTACATATATCATTATGTGATTATTTTTCATTAATTTCTTCTTAATATATATTATTTTCACATATTAATTTATTTGAAATGTGATGAAGAGATTAACGGTAATTAGAATAAAAGCATATTGGACATCAAATATTATTCATAATAAATTACATATGTATATGTAATTTACTATAAATAATATATTAATAGGAAACTTGCTTTTTGTTCTCATTATTAGTCAATTTTCCTTTGTATTTATATAGAAATATAATTATATTTTTTGTTAAATTTTATATAAATTTTCTATTAAATTGTTAAATAAGTATTGGTAATGAGATTATAAAATTTTAATAATATTTATCACTGAGTCTACACTGTACACACACACATTTAAATTTTTTTTTTTACTATAAATATCATTAATTTCTCCCTTTGCGACCATAAGTAAAAAAATTTAAATAATTTAGAGAGCGAGAAGCAATTAAAAAACGTTAGTTAGAAAACTCAATTAGACTTCATTTAATCTTAGTAGAGGTGTATTTGCTCACTTGCACCTATAAATATTTAAATACGAAGGATGCAAGTGAAGAAAGCATATCCTTAATGCCATTAGGCATGTACCGAATGTAAATATCCTCAATACATTTAGTAAGCATAAACAAAAATGATGAGATAAATGTTGATAAAATCTTATATTTTTTGAAATGTATCGATATGATTTGAGTAAAGAATTACAACTGAATAATTATCGAAACGATCAAGATTTAAAATTGTAACATTATCACATCTATCATTTATAACAGGATACCAATTATATCTTTAAGGATGATATTCATACAAGAGTAATTCTGCCTCTAGAGATCATTTTTCATCTTTTCATACTTGATGATGTTAATCATTTAAATGATATTACTTCATAAATATTCTCTTCAATTGCAAAACAGCTTTAAAATGAGTTTTAATAGGATAAAAATTTCTCCACCCATCTCAATTTACAATACTTTTGATATATCTGCTTTTATCAATATTTTCTAATAATTGTTAAAATTTGCAAAAATGTTTGAAAAATTACTGAATAAACTATTTAATCATAATTAAGTAAAGGAAATTTAAGATAAGAATCGTTTTATAGGGATTTAATATGAAAATTTTTTACTTTATTTTTCTCTAGTCTTGATACATTAGATAAGTAAAATTAAAGAGAAGGATATTTTTATCGATAATCAGAAACACAAAGCTAAAGCAGCCTACAACTTCTTACAGCTAGAAATTATTTTTTAATAACGTTTTGATTAATGTAGTTTAACTCGAGTAATTACTCAAGCTGCTGAATTTCATTTAAAGATAAACTTAGATTAATATTTTATCAATCAGAAAGTTTAATTTAAATGCTAAAAATTAAGAAGGAAAAAAATGATGCAAAGATAATCGCACGCGATCTAAATTTTTATATAATTTACTTAACGAAAAAACAAACCATTATTATAATTAAAAAACAATAAAGATTTTTTTTTCTTTATTTTAAATAAAATTTTAATAAATGTACGTTTAAAAAAATCGAGTGAAACGTGCAACAATATTCAAAGTTTGTTCTTTGTTTTTTTTTTCCTTCTTTTCTTTTTCTCTTATTGACTTTTTAGTAGAGTGATTGATCCACTACTTGAAACGGTAAGAAAAATAAACAAGTTTGATAAGCTAGAAATGCAAATGAGGCGAAATACAAACTTTTACATCGTGAAAGTTGCAAAGTATGAGTGGCTCAACTGATTTATAACGAGTGTAGCGTCCTTTAACGGGTGTGAATTTATTACCGTAGTCATGATGTTGAGTCGTTATGGATGTACACAACAAGTGGCTCTGTATATCCTCTACCCTTAGATGTTATTTAAAATACTACTTTAATGAATAGTGAGAAAAAAAAAATCTTTAATGCTTACTGAGGGGAGAAAAATAAGATGAATATCGACATCATCTCTTTTGATGGAAAAAAATATATTTATTATCTACATACAGTAACCATCTACATCACAATAAATAACCAAAGTTTACTTTAAAATGGCTTATTCTTAATGGAGATATATTAATCTCTCTTGTAAAGAAAAAAGTAAAATTTATGTTAGAGTAATTAAAATATTTTCACTCTCCAACAAATAAAACTATAAACCCTAGAGGAAATTTATAATTATTTTCAGTAATTTGAGAGATATCTATGTATATCACTTAATATTTCTCGTAGGATTTGCCATATTTAATGAACCGCTTGACAGAATTCTGTTTCTATAATTACAAGTATAAATGGTAAATTTATGCAAATATAAAATAGTAATTTGCCTGTAACACCATAGTCTTAAAATTTACATTAATACAACTATAATTAAATTAATTGTTATTTACAATAATTACTATCTTGCTAGAGAAATTATAGATGTATAAATAAAGTTTTCGAATGTTACATTCCTTTTAAAGATATTCTCTTTAAAAAATTGCTTACACGTGTTTATTATTATGGAAAGTTGACTTACCTGCACGAACGTGAACGTCCCTGCTTCCAATAGTACCTACGATGTTTGATAAAAGACAGCGATAAATGGTATCGTGAACATCAGCACGATAATCCTCTGGACGAAACGGTCTAAAAATTAATGTCCCATCTGCTTTTAACACCCTCAATCTACTTATTTCGTTAACGGGATCTCCGTTCTGTTTAACCCATCTCACTATAGGAGTTGGTTTTCCATCTCCACGACATCTAAGTTCTCCACCGGATGAATTGGAAAAGTCCAAACGATGTGGTGGTTCATTGAGAAATATCGGTCCCTCTACGTGTGCTTCATGACTAGACACTAAGAACAAAACACACGAAAAAAATATAAAAAATCTAAACCTGATTTTTCCCCTTTTTTCTTTAATTATTGAAATTATTTAAATATTTAAAAAATAGTTTAAAAAAATCATATTTATATCGGATACATATAAAAATATTAGCGATTGATAAACGTACCTGCGAGTAGAGCGACTATCAGAAATCGTGGTGCGTTCAACATCACACGTTATCCTCCAACCGTAGCCGATAGACGAATGTGCAGCCAGGCGATCGTGAGGCGAGACTTTAAGTGGCTTCTTCAGCCGCACCTTTACATTCGGGTCACAGTGGTGACTGAACCGGAGACCTAGCAAACAAAGCTACGGCACAAACACATTTACCGATCTACTCACGTAGCCTGGAAGAGCTAGAGTGATGAAAAGCGTGGTTGGTCAATATGTTTTCTCTGTACTCTCCCTTTCACTCAGTTCGTCCGCTCCGTATGCTCGTCCGTCCTCTTTCTTTCTTTCTTCTCCTTGGCCCGAAACTTCTCTTTTTCCGGATATTGCGCCGAATGACTGACGCTCCAAACACACTCCGCTAATTGCCAGAGACGATGCTGACAGTTTTTCTTCCCGTTTTCCTTTCTTTTTTTTACTTGATGCATTGATACTTTTTCGTGATAATTTTCACTATCAATGGATAATAATGAGTGTAGCCAGTTACCATGGTAACGGATTGATGCGCTCTCTATTGAAATCAGCCGCCACCAGCTAAGTAATAGGAACTAGATGATGAAAGACTATGACAGTCATTAAAGATTAATACAGTTTCGCGTATTTCTTCAAACTTTTCCCACGTGGTAAGTCTTTGATTACTGCTGAGTCTACTACACCGGCCCAGCTCCCTTGTTCTGCGTCGATAATTGCGAATGTTGCCGTGAAAAAGAAAGATTCTGGCTGGCTCCTTTCGAATGTATCAAACCCCCTTTTTTTATTTCGTCGTCTGTGTGTCTTTCTTTTTCGATAAGACAAGTAAGAAAAGGGAGGAGAGAGACGTCTTGAGAATTTTGTGATAAATGAAGGGTCTTACTGACAGTAGAGGTGCTGGCAAGGCAAAGTAAATCCCCCAGTAATCACCAGACAGACAAGAGTTGGGCTGTATTGGTGGAAGGGAGCTTAATGTCTCGCTGTTATGTCATGTGTTTGGCAGAGGCATATGTTACGAGGATTACAGTTGTGTGCTAACTAAAAGACTAATGGACAATGCACTACATGACATAAAGTACATTGTTTCTTTCTTTTTAATGTATGTTCCGCTATGAAAATTGGTCTGAGGAGAAGATTACAAATTCGCTTGTTTATCTGCTACGGCCAGAAGTAGGAAAACAATTACACATCCGTGAAGACAAATCTCTGAATAGAAAATATAACGAGTAACATTACCCATTTCATTTTTTTAAAATTCATATAAAATATAATATTAAATGTATATTTTGATATGTATATTGTATATTTTTTCTATAAAAAATATATTCTAGATAAATTAAATTTAAATATTTAAATATAGATAAATAAAAAAGTTATACTATTTTATTTATTTTTAACATTTCAGTTATTCATTCTTGAATAAAAAAAAAGAAAAAAAAGGAGAAAGAGAGAGGAACGTTTTGTAATTTTAATATAAAATATTCAAGGCAAGTTCTTTCTAAAATGATCATTCGTCCATCTACGAATCAATATAATAATATATAACATGAAATATGCCGTAATGGAATTCATAGCATCTATGTTTCGAGTATTGAATAGTTTCTGCTATAAAATATTTTATATTGTCTGCCTGTCTTCAATAAAGATTTATTGCACCACTAGGCTTCAACTATGTGATAAGTCTTATCAATACGAATATAAAACTAATCCCCTTTACAACATGAAAATGTAGCATATGTCCACTTGCTCAGACTTTTATTCATAAACTATTCTTTGACTTGAAACAAAGAATTAATTTATGAGAAGTTTCACTAAACTTAATTTTATAGAAAAAGGATTTAAAGAATCAGAAATAGTTTTATTACTTCAAAATTAAGTTTTTGTAAGACATATATTTAGAAATTAGGAGTTTTCAATAGTAGTTCATAGATTATAGTTAAAGCAGTCGCACTGGAAAATATGTATAGTAATATTTTTGTAGGTTTACAGTTATTTTACGAAGGATGAAACATAAAATAGATTTTTAAGGATAAACTTTCCAAGTTTCTATATAAATATATGTAAAAATAAATTTGCCGAAAATCGGTTTTAAAGATGTTATCTCAAAGAATCTGAAGGAAAAGAATTGCGAAAATATTTGCAAGAAAATTTTTAAGAATATATTTTTTTATTAAATTTCAAATTATCAATATTTTTTTTTATAAAAATATTTCATAAAATTAAATTATCTTCTTAATTTTATTTAAAAGTTTATTGAATTTACCAAATAAAAAATTTATATATAATTTTTTAAAAACACTAATCGAAAGTTAAAAAAGAAAGTTTTAATTTAAAAATAAGGATTATCAAAAGAAAATTTTAAATTAAATTAAAAATTAAATTAATTATTACAATAAAAGTTTTATAAAATATTAAAGACATTATCAAAGAAAAATAATAAGTGGAAGAAAGTTGCATTTACTCGTATAATATCAACAATTTTCAACAACAAAGATAAACAAAAAAAAAAAGTTTTAGTTAAAGCTAATGAAGAAAGTTATGGAATTGAATATGAAATTTTAAATGTCTTCTACAATGATATGTAAGTAGCACTAGAGAATATTCTTAAGAAGCAAAGTTTTATGTGTTTCTGGATAGTAGTAACTCGCAGTAGTCGTAACAAGCGAGAAATATCACGTATCAGGCTAGGTTGAATTTAAAGTGACGTTAAATTAAATGTTAATGTAAGTTGGGTAAAAGAAAATGGAAGTGTAAGAAGACTGCAGCACTGAATTACAAATAGGTATATGATCGACGATGCATGAAATTTGGTCGAGAAATGGGTCTATCAGTATCGTGTATACTGTAATGGTTTTCAATAAGAGTTGATTAATAGCAAACCATTAAGAGAATTACACACAGTACATGCTATCTTATTACTGTATACATACAGCACAATAAAGCTTTAAAAAAAAGAATCTTCCATCTCAAAGATGTTTTCAAGTGCTCTCCTGTTTTTGCTGATGCAAACACTCAGAGAAAATTAAAATTTTCTCTTTCTCTATTAATTATAAAGTTTGAAAAGAAAAATAAATATACAAAAATATAATACGATATTTTTTTAATATAATATTTATATAAATTTTAATCTTTCAAAATATTAAATTTGTAAAGGATGTTTTTGTAATCACTACACTTTAAAGATATTTCAAAAATTCCTGCATCGAATAAGAAACACTTAACAGCTGGTTGACCAAAAAAACTGTTCAAAACTCAGATTTTTATGATAAAGAACCATTTAAAAAGAGAACAAATACAAGAATGTTCGTTCATGTCACGTACAGTTGGAAAAAATCCGTTTCACGTTCCACCATCCGGGGTGAGAATTTCATGTCTTTCTCGGATTTCTCTTCTGTTGTAACTGGAGATGTAAAATCTGGAATTCTCACAAGCGTAATACAATTTTACTAACTCAATTAAATATAGCAAACCTCAAAAAATAAAAAAATAAAATGCGCTCAAATATTATTTATTAAAGCCACATTTAACTTATAAAGGATAGATGATTCTTGACTTTGTTATCCGCGTAGGACATTTATCAAATAAAGATATATTTTTTTAAACTTGAGACATTTTAGACATGTAGTAAGTGTCAACTATGTTACCTTACTGTATCCTAAATCCTAGAAGATCTTAGCTATAACCTGACATTTCTTAGATCAAGGAAATAACAACATTGAACGGTCACTTAATATCGGAGCAGAGGAGTGTGGTGTCAGCTGTTAGGGACTACGATCAAGCTTTCTGATGTGACTTTCCGGATATCCATCGTTATTGGTTTCTTTCTACTTTTTCTATTAAGTGCAACTCAGCAAAGTTTTCTAAGTTTCTTCTTAATGCTATTAACTATATCCTCTTCTAACAATCTTGTGTTTTTTTTATTTTTTGATAAAGGAGGAGTTACCAGTCGCGTTACAATACAGCATAAAGGTTAAGAGGTTAAGTCGAAATTTCCCTATACAGGGAAATATCCCGGCGAGTTAGTCTTACGTGGATAGAAAAACGATATTTTAAGAAAATTTATGTTATAGAATTTCGATTAGTAAGAGAAACAGTGAACTGGTTACCATGGAGGACAATAAAGTGCCTAAGGATGCAACATTACAATCAGAAAGGCAGCTAGTTAGTTTGGCATGTCTCTCGTAAATATCGTCAATTAAAGGTGAGTTAGTGCTTCCGAAGGACTGTTGTAACACGTTTTACAGTAACATCTACACTGTTGGACGAGGATATGACGTTAATGTAAGTGCACCTTTGTTAATGTACTCCCTTCAGAAAATTAGTTTTGTCATGGAATATAATTAAAGATGATAACTAAATACCTTACTGTAACGAAAAGAAGAAGAGAGAGAGAGAGAAAAAAACAGTTATCTCTTTACGTATTTAAAATTAAAAATATATATTTAAAAAAATATCCTTAAAAATCCTTTTTAATAGCATTTTAAATGACTGATAATATTAAAAATGTGTTTTATTAATAATAATAAAAAAATATTTATTTAGTACGTTTTGACAGGTGGTATTCCAGATAACATTTTTTTTCAATACGAAAGATGTCTAAAGGGTATTTAAATTTGTATAATGACTTTAGATATCTATGAAGTATGGTTAGAAATGAAGAAAAAGAATTACCGACTTCGTTTAGATTTGCATTTGAACAAGTTAAAGAGATATCTAAAGATGCATTTCTTTGTTACTTTTCTGTACGTAAACACGTTATTTAAATTTAAATTAAATGTATTTTATATTTACAAAATGAAATCTTATATATTTTACATATTTATTTTCTGTCGCAAAAGATAAATTACTAAATTAATAAGATCGCTATCGACTATACTCTATACACAATTTTTCTAACTGATTACACTAGAATGTGTAATCAGTAAGTAAATTTTATGAATAATAATATACTTATTAATTAATATTTTTTAGAATAGGAAAACGAAATTATTTTTAAGTTTTGTAATGTTTTTATTTTTCTTAGATCGGTAAAAACCTTCCTTAACAGAATAGAAAATACTTTCTTTTTTTTGGGGGGCGAATAATCAAAACAATGAGAAGTTTAGAAGAGTGTTGAAGTAGTCGGTGAAAAAGAGAAATTTTAGTATTAAAAAAAATATATTCTACCATGCATCTCAAAACCAAAAATTTAAAATTCAAACTGGGAAGCAAACGCCATCTGTTCAGTTTCCAGTAGCTTCGATTGTAGTTCACTGATCACATTTAGCATTAAATTGTCATCGAATGGAGATGCATTTTCTCTGCATATTTTGGCATAGAAGAAACAGCTGAGCATACTTTACTTCCAACATCATCCACTGCCAGGATTCTTAAGAGGTGATTAATGAAAAGAATCGAGAAGATAAGGAGTTGAGTCTTTTCTAAGTGTCAAGTACAAGTAACATAAGTATTTCAAGAATTACCAAACAACAGTTCTTTCTACTCGTTGAAATGCATTATACGAACAAGTGGTCTGTTATTTACTTTAATTTTCCATCAGAAATTGTCACCATTAAAAAAAATCGACGAAAATCTTTTTGCCATGCATTTGTTGTTTTCTATCAAATACTTTCTTTTGTCTACTTAAAACCTTTTTTATCCACTGAAATTTATAAAAAATAATTTTAGTTAATGAACTAGAAGATTCAAATTTCACTCCAGCTGGCATTTTAGTAGAATAATTACCGCATGAAAGTCTTAAAGAACAATAATTTTATAAAGTTTACTAAAATACAGAAAAAAGGTGAATTTATTGTAAAGATCTTTTAACATTTTTTTAAATTTTAACTTTAAAAATAACTTTATATTTAAGTTAATAAATTAAAAAAATATATTTAAAAAAATAATAAAATCCGAAAATTGTTAAAATAAATCAATTTTCAATGCATATAAGAT